ACGCGGAAAGAACGATAAGGTCACAGATTTATTTGTTTTTTATTATAAATATTTAATTTCCAACAATTATACATCCAATAATTATCTATATAATTCTTTCTATATTTATAAAATATAATTTATCATATCAGTAAATATTCAAATTAAGTAACCCATGACAGGAAAAAATAAATAAATTCTCAGTTTAGTTACACCGCTTTATCCAATTAGTTATTTCCAAGAATGGGTTATTCTCTATTTTTAAGATTCTAGGTTAAAAAATATTTATTTAATTAATGCGAATCTTGAATAATCCTCTTTTAAAATATTATAATTACCTCAAATCGCCGTGTGCTGAGGCAATTGTGAGGGACCTCTTTCTTCCTAGGCAGACTAGTATTTATTATATTGAGATATTAATATATAATAAAGTGTTTTCTGAAATTTATCGAATTAATTATTAATATATATATTATTTTTTTATTAAATCAAATTAGTATTTTTTAAAATAATCAATTTTTCAAATAATTCATAATTAAGCCTTTGGTCTTTCGGGGTTTATAATATTGTGCCAAAACTGAGTAACCATTCAACCAGAGCTGTTGGAGGTATTGCAATATTATAAAATCCTTAATGTTAGAATAATAATTAAATAATCTAACGTGATCTTATTTATCATTCAATACCTTAATATCAAATCGAACCCATGCCTAATTGTTTCATTAAAAGAAAAATAATTTCTTTTTCTTGGTTATTAGATGTTAAATCTGATGGTGTCTCACTTTTTATGCCCTATTATATTTCGGGTTTCTTTTAATAATATATTTTGAAGGTATTTTTTTTTATCATATGCCTCAAAGTTCTAGTATGGATATGATAATTATGCCAAAAATGATTCATCCTAATTTATCATGAATATGAAGTTATTACTCATATCATCTTGGAGAGCTTTTAATATTAGACAATATTGCAAACTTGAATTTTCAATTACCTAAGTCCCTCTTAACCATAATTAGTTTGGACATTTAATTCTACATTAAATGTTCTACTCTGCCTTAGTAATTTTTCTAATGTAAATTTATACTGGCCCTAAAACTTTACACTACTCTCCTATATCAGCAATATCTAAATTAGAGATTCTGCCAAAATATTTACTGGCCGGACTGGGCAAAAAAAATAAAGAATAGAAAGTTAGAAAAAAAATTTATTTCGAAAGTCTAATTTTGTTTAAAATAATTATTTTTAATTGCTTGATATAACTATAAAATTTAATTTAAATTATGGCCTGCTATATATTTTGTTGTAATTTCATTATTTGTATTTTCTGCATATAGTCGAAACTCGAAAAGTCAGTAAACGATTATTGGGATAGGAAGTATGTGGGGTGGGTAACAAGCGAACGTTACAAAAAATATTACCCTATATTAAAGATGGCTGGGAATCCAATCTTCCACACTATTATGATTTTTTTAAAAATTTAATCTCAAAACGAGGTATATGATAATAATTTTAAAAAACCGGCGTGGACACTCTTGGCAAAAATTATAAACTAGTCGTACAAAAAAATCTCAACCGAGCCAGGCTGGACCTGGAAATTTTGTCATTTACAGGCATGTAATCTATATAATTTAGAATTAGATAATAATTTTTTTTCAAATAACCAAATTTAAATGTGTTATATATTTGAGCAATGATGTTATACTTTCGTAATGGCTATTCTACATGGTTATGCATGAAATTTTCAACTGATTATCTCTTACCTTAACTTTTTTAATATTTTATAAATGTTTTGTATTTGAAAGGAACAGCATAACTTAAAATTATATTATATTTGACCATAAATTTGGATTTTAAATTTGTAATATATATTCTATGAATAGTAATTAAATTTATATAACATATACTTTAATTTTGAAATTTAAACGATTTAATTATTTACTTGGATTTTTATAATAATAAAAATTATATTAAATTGTCTATTAGTCTGCTATCTCAGTATAGCAATTAAGGACATACTGTGGCAGACACACCTCATGTGTCATGGTAAATTATTTTGATATTTCATTTAAAGATAAACATTAAAAAATAGTAAAAATACCGTGTGACCATCATTAATTTAACTAAATTCTAATAGGTCATTCTCATAATCATTGTCAAGATTATTTAATTTTACACCAAAATCAGTAAATGACATTAAATTGGAGGCGTTATCTGTAACTGTAGAAATCAGCTTATCTGAAATCTCGAAATTTTATAGACTTCTTCCAATTAATATGCTATTTTATCTTATAAATTGTTCCAGACATTCTTTTACATGGCAGGCTCTTGATATTTTTCAAGGATTTCAGTGTTATCCTTATAAAATAAAATAATTTGAAAAATATATATTACCCAATGAGCAGTTATGCCTATAAATATACCAGTTTGTAGACAACCCATTGCGATAAATAATTGAGCTTTAAGAATATTTTTCAGCGATTCTATCTGATTCTCGTACATTTCCTCAATTTCCTGTTACAGAGACCTCCTGGTTTTTTTAAAAATAATTCAATATTGCTAAAAATGGCTAGAAAATAATGTTAAAATTTATATACAACCTTTCGTCATTGTAAAAAGTGTTGTTAAAAGGCTCAATTTGACCCCTTTAAAAAGGTATAAGCCGATATTTTAGCCAGAAAAATATTGCATAAGCCTCAAATTTTGCCAATAGATGTCCAAACTTCTATGTAATTTATGAGCAAATTTTTTTAGGCTTGCGTAATATTTTTCTGAATAAAATATTGAGTTAGCCATTTCTAAAAATTGGCTCAAATGAAACCGTTTAGAAACACTAAATGTAGCAAATCAAGGCTGTTCAAATAAGGTTAAATAATATAAATCCTTGACAATAAATTCAGCTCATCAATTTTATTTGTTTAATTAATGGTTTTATTTTATTAATTCAATAAATGAAGTGATATGCTGGATTAGATAAAAAAAATTTGTGGTGATAGTTAGTTGGGTTTCTTCTCTGCTATTTTAGATATAACTGATACTCCTTAAAAATGCCTAAATAACATCTCTAAATTTTAATAACTTGATTCAAACAAAACAATATAATCATAATCAAGCTTATAGAAATCTAGTGGAATGGAAACAGATCAAATTCCTCCTGATAATATTTGATCCAAACATCGTTCCCATTTCTATGATACAAAAAAAAAGATTAATTAATTCAAAGATTTTTGCTTTTACAGGTTTGGCATTCAGCAGTTACTTTACATTTTACTATTAATTAAAAAAATTATCTAATATTTTAAAAATCAATTACAGTTTCATTACTTTCTTTTCTTATTCATTGGTAATATTTTATTCAATTATACTAATTTATAAAATGTAAGGTTTGTTTTGTTTATTTATATCTTGATGTAAGTTATAGATTTTCAAGTTGATTTTTCCTCTATTATATTTTTCAGATATTTTTAAAACATGACGACAGTAAAAAAGAATGATTTATGCGAGGGCATCAAGTCAAGATGGTCACCAGATTTAAGACGGATATCAAGAGTAGAGTGGAGGAAGAATTTTAGTGACTCCGCGGATCCTAGATGAGTTAGATCCTCCTTAGAGGTAACATTGAAATTGTAGGGATTTTGATCGGAGGAGTTTTCTTGTACAAATTCGGATTTTGTTTGGTTGAGAATGAGACCAACAATGCATCCCATTTCCTTTATTATGTACGACCTTATAGGTTTTTAATTGAGGTCCAGTAATGATTCTGTCGTCTATTTACTAAACGTGTAGTGGAAATAAGCATTCTGAAGTAATGGTTTGAATTATATTAATGATTACAAGACAAAATAAAAAAATTCCTAGACCCTAGCTGAGAATGTTAAATTGCAAAATTATTGCATGAATGAGTTACGGGAGAGGGTGTAGAATGCATTAGCAAAATCAATTTTGATAAGTATTTCATTTGTGGGAATGCTCTCCATATAAAGACGAGTAAGGTATACAGAGGTCTCAAATACGTCAATGATGTGTTGTTAAAAAGTTCGATTCGGGTCGATTTTAGATACCTGTCGATTAAAATTATAATCAAAATAACATAAAGTCTAAGCAAATAGAAATGTTGAACATCTATTTGTCGAATCTTATGCCTACATAATATTATTTTAGCTAAAATCTTAATAGGGTCATTTTGAAACGACCCAAATTTTTAACAACACTTGACTCCTATTCTAAAATGAAATATGTGAGGCCTCATATTTTATCCAGGATGTAATTATTAGCGACAAGGCGGCGGAAAATTGAATCAATAATTATTGGTCTGATATCTTTTTTAGGCTTCTTTACAGAGACCTTCATGGGCCTTAATTTTTTGACCAAGCCCGGCCCAGACCCTCAGAAAATTTTTTTTGACCCAAGCCCAGCCCGGCTCATATTAATGTTAATAAACTTCCTAAGCCCATAATAAGTTTTATAAAAATTTTCCAAGCCTATATACAAAAATTTAATTTTTTTTTTATTTAATGAAAATTAACCATAATATTTAAATATATTTTGGCAATTATTTTATTTACAATACTGAAATTTAATAATTAGAAGAAAAAAAGGCAATATTTCATTAAATTAGCAACTGTTTTAAATAATCGAAATTTAAATTTAATAATTTTAAGCCCAAGCCCTGCTCAAGCCCAGCCCTGCCCAAGCCAATTATAAAAAAAATTTTAAACTCAGGCCCAGCCAGACCCTATAGAAAATATGATATTAGGCCCAGTATGCTGGCCGTGGGCCGGCCGGGTCCATGAAGATCTCTGCTACTGTAAGGCTATAAGTCTGGCTCTAAAAAGAATGTGGGATACATACTTGAGAACATCACCATATAAGATTCGGTTGCATAAGTTTGTGATTTTACGAGAGATGGAAGTTTGCGATTTAATCAATGGAGAAGTTGTATCTTTGAGGAATATGTCTGATTTTATCTAGGCCATGAGCGGTTTTGTAAAGATAATTGTTTTTATTTAATTATTTTCAAGTCAGAGCATTTAAAGGTTCGGCTAAATGATTATTAACCAAAATTGTCATTTTTTTAAATGAAAATCCTGGAGTTAGAATTAATCATCCTCCAATAAATCACCAGAAGTTTATTAATCATGTATTTTTTTTTTATAAATTTGAGCTTATAAATATAGACATTAATTTTTGCCTTAATTTGTTATTAATTTATATAAACAATATGACAATAAATATTCCTCAATATTTTTCTTATGTTAATCAGATCTTTTATATTTATCAAAATCAAGACTAAACTATGACTACCATTAATTTAATTACGGCTTTTACAAGAAACAAAGATATATATTAATTTTGGTTGTGCCAAAACTTGTTTGTAAACTTTCACAAGTTTTATAAAACTAAGAAAATCATGTTGTAGATTTTTGGAACTTTAAGAAAATCTTAAAAAAAATATTTTAGATTGTATATATCATTAATAGAAAAAGATTAATTTGTTTTTTTTTGATAGATCTAAGCTTTAATGAATTGTTAAGTATAAAGGGTGAAACATTTTGTAAAAATTTAACATAATAGAAATTTAATCTTCTATGTATTCATTTGTAATATCAATAAAATAAAAATGAATAAGCCTTAAATTCTTAGGTTTAGTTGGGAGAAATCTTCTATCAAATTGGCATGTTTTTATAAATATCACTCACTTTGTCCATCTTCATAAAATTAAAATAATATAATATTACTAAAAAAGAAATGAGTTAATATAATAATGACTAATTTTTTAGATAAAAAAAACTTAAAGGAATGTAAAACTAGAATTCCAAAAATAAATAATTAAAGCCTGATTAAGAGAAGCAAGTCTAAAGCTCTTCAATAAAAAACTTATGTAGAATTAGAAAAGTCCTGGTTACACTTATATTAACAAAAACATGCGTATGCATTTATCAAATAAGAAATAAATTGTCTATTGTTGGCAGTGTAATATACATTACTTTATTCAAAATATTTTTAGGACTTATTAAATTTTTAAATTATATCTAATTTTGCAGACAACTAGCCATTCAATCTTCTATTAATCCAATCCATTGGAATAATTATATCACATGGTAGTACCCAAATCACTAAAGGTAGACATTGTAAACTATGTTCTGATTGTGATTTTTGGGATCAGTTCTTGGATCAGTGTTAATAGTGTATGGGTGGAGTTACCTGTTTTTGTGAATGCTCTCCCAGAAAAATGGGCTCTTCCCTCCTACTTTTCTATAATTATCCAATTAGCTAACCTAATCATTCTCCTATCAACAGCTGGTTTCAACCTATTCAAAAAATACAGATCTCATCGGTCATCCACTTTAATGATAGATATCAACAACAACATCATTAATGAAACTAAGGTATAAAATACAGTACAATAATGATGGGAATATTTGGGGACCAACACTCTTCAAATTTAATGTTTCTACCCCCCACCCCTCCCACATTTTGCCATAATTTGGATAAATATCAGCCCTATAAAAGTACCATTTGCTTGCTTGGAAATAACTGATTTTTTTTTCTTTCAATTATATAGTTCCATATTAAATTAAAGTAATTAAGTTTAAAAAGAATCTCTTATTCTAGTATTGTTAAATGGATAACTCAATGTTTCCAGAAAAATAATACGCAAGCCTGAAGATTTTACTCATAGATGTCCAAACTAGTGAAGACATTGAGTTATTGGTTTAAATCGAGGTGTTTAACAACACTTACTATTATTAATTTTTTTGTTTTGAAAATTTTGAATTTAAAATATTATTAATTATTTTCTAACAAGCATTAGAGTTAAGGTTAATATTTGAAAAAAAAAATATTAAATAACCTTGACAATGACAAATTCAATTTTAATCGAAAGGTCAGAATAAATAAACATATTTTCATTTTATATGTAATGTCATAAAAAAACATCTTATTAATATTTCTTTATTTTATATTTTCATAATAAAATGAAACCTGAGCTAAACAATAGGTCCCCCAACCCCTTTTGGGGGTTTTTCTTTTTATTTATGAACTCTAAATTATAATATCATTCTTAAAATTTTCTCAGTGACCTTCAGGCCCTAATACACAGGCATTTTAATTTTTATATACTCGGGTCTGGACTAAATTTTTTTAAAATAAAATACCAGGCCTGGGCCATATATTTTTTTTAAAACCAAATATTTTAAAACGCCATTATTAGCTATTAAAATTGAAAATAAATATAATATATTTATCCGGGCTGGGCCTTGAAAATTGTAACTGTACAGGTCTTTAATATTTTTTAAATAATGCTTCAAATAAACATAATTTTACAAAATTTCTTTAATATCACAGAGACATTCCAATATCAACTGGCACGCTTCGGCTATATATGCTGTACTAATACTTCAACTCTCGGTCGTTATGGCTACCCCATTCCGCTGGGACCAGTTGACTTTGGTAGCCGGTTCGTCTCGCAGCGTCTCCCTGTTAATCCTGCTATTTTTCATGGCCCTGGCCAACTGCTCTTCCAGCATCCTGTTCATGCCTTTCATGTCAACTTTTCCTGCCCCGGCTTACGTGACAGCCTATTACCTGGGATCCGGTCTGAGTGGACTCTTGCCCAGTTTTCTCTCTCTCGCTCAGGGCATAGGTGGTAGTCCATCTTGCGTTAATTCTACGACTGGTAATACCAAAACAAAAATTTATTCATTAGAACCTAAATAAGATGGTTTTTTTTTCTTGTTCATATTTTAAACAGGGCAACTTTTCACTATCAATTTAATGAATTGGGAGTCCACTATAATTGTATTTTAGAGATAATGACTATGAAACTCCAAAATTTTAATTTAAAAAAAAACTCATGATGTTCGGAGGACATTTTGGGCCACAAAATTGAATTTACTTTTTATAGAAATGAATGGTCATAACTTATATTTACATTACACGCACAACCTGTCGATCACACGTCAAGCCGACAATCACACATTTCGAGTACCATCTACCTTGAAGCCTCGTTTTGGTATTTCGACATTCTTCGGGATCATACTGGCTGTTTTGTTAATATCCGCCTTTGCATTTTACGCGCTGAGTTGGCGCCGAATCATAGAAAGGAGGCTCAGAGTGGCGAATTTCACGGAGACTGCCTCGGAATCGAAAGACATGAACGATGTCAATTTTCAATCTTCCGAAAAATCCATCAAAAGTTTTTTAAACTACAAACTTATCCTAATAATTTTTTTTTACAATTTAAATTTAATAGTGGGAGATGATAACCAACAACTCGTGCCCGAAATTTCTACATCAATCAATCGAATCAATTCACCGTCATCCGATCAAGTACCCGTCAATACCCACACCTCTTCGACAGCAGTTTCATATAAATTTGGCCCCGATGGTCAGCGGGTGCCAACGACTCTCACTTGCTCTATCCTACTCTTCCTATTGGCTTGCCTAAGCGCTCTCGATAATGGGGTAACCTATAAATTAAAAATAGCTAACGAAACCTTTTTTTACGCTTACCTCATTTATTTGATCGATAGTTTGATTAATTTACTTGCAAAAATTTACGTTTATTCAAGTTTGGGCATAGAGCTTAATTTCGTTTTTATAAATATTTAAATCATTGGCTATCGTTAGCTATTCAATTGAAGTAACAAAATTATTCAAAATAAACATATTTTATTCCCTAAATTATCTTATTCAAGGTAATTCCATCTATCCAGTCCTACGCCGCCTTGCCTTACGGCAACATGGCTTTCCATTTATCCGTATCGCTTTCGAGTCTCTCAAACCCGCTGGCCTGTTTTATGGCGTTTTTTAGGCCCCTAGCGTTAGGCGCTAAGCATTACTATTTTTTGGCCGGGATCTGTGCCTTACTATCGTCCATTATTTTGGGATTTGCGCTCAAAAGTCCCCACCCTCCATTGGCCGGAACGCTCGCAGGAACTGTGCTGACGGTTTTCCATTCTTTTTTTTTGTGGAATATTTTTTTAAAAAATTAATTGGGGGAGATCGAAAAAATACACTATACGTTTTTTTAATGATATTGGTTTCAGACTTGGACTTAATCTCCCATTTTGTTAATTTGAAATCGTTTTAAAACGCTATTCGAAGAATCGGCCTAGATAATTCCATACCGAATCGATAACTTTTCGACCCGACCTTTTTATTGATAAAATTTTGCATACTGGGAGAACATCACTAGAAGGCATCGAATCCAAAAATTTTACTCCTATTATCCATAGTTCCTGAAATATTAGTAATGAAAAAATGACATTTTTATTAAAATAAGTTAAAAATAATGGTGCTTAAAATAAAGATTATATAATTTTATAGCAGCCATAAGGCATTTTTAGGTAAATATTAAGAATCTTTTAAAAATAATATATGTTGTGGTTATAATTTATGTTGTAAATTTTAATCGCTTTACGAATTTCTTTCAATTTAATACTTTTATTACTCACTTGCGTTATATATATTTGTAAGAAAAATTTTAATCATTACGATTTTAAAAAAATAATAAATTAAATTTTTTGAAAAATAACGCTATAAAATATCGCATTTTTGTTAAAAATTATTTTTTTAAATGACTTTTTATATTTTTAAATATAAAATTCGATTTTTTAGCATTAATATCATGAAATGAGGTTTTTTAGCTGCGGTTATAATCATTTTTTCTTGTAAAATATTTTTTATTTTCTAAAATTATTTTATTCGTTGATTGACTCATTATTGTTAATATATTATGTTTTTGGTACGAAAGGGAGATCTGGTGTCGCTAGATAAATAAAAGAATTTTGCTGGTCATTTAGGATGAAGAGAATTTATTTTTTATTTCATCTCTACTGACATCCACTTTTAGCACAAATCATAACATTCAATTCGTTTTTTTTACACAGGTCGCCACAATATCCTCATAATTTCATCTATTAACAGATACTCAATCAAAATGTCCTCCCATAGATTTACTATCTCCACAATAAATGCCGGCGAATTAGAATATATTTTATTGAGCTTAGTTAAACCGATCGGAAAACTACGTGAATTTTTTGCATCCCAGTCATTGAGGTCTTCTCCTTTCTTTCTTTCTTTCTTTCTTTTGGTATGGTGGCATAATAAAATTACATTTTACACTCTTCCGCAAATTTATAAAATTTTACCATGTGCTAGAAAGAATGGCATTCCGCTTGAACACCAAATTCGATATCATGGTAACAAACATTGATCAAGTTTTTTTTACTATTTTTTTTGTTGCGCTGCTGAAATAAGAAAAGTAATAAAAAATTTCGTGGTGTGTCGAATTGTTTTTTTTTAAATGAATCATTTTGGATTCTATTTTTTTCGAATGATGTACTCTCAGTATGCAAGATTTTGTCAATTAAGAAGGTTGGGCAGAAAAGTCCGCGATTTTATATGATATTCCCTCCCCCCTCCCCCATAAAAGGTGGAATTGGTGAGATTTTCTGACAGCCTACTCGGATTGATATAAAATGATTTACCTGTGAATAACTTATGATATTATTAGCACTCTCAAAGGTCGGTTTTATTAGCTGTTAAATATTTTTCTCGTTTCATTTTTTAAAAATTTTTTCTATTCATTTTTTAATATTAAAATATTAGGTTGTTCTGTGGATCGTTTTGGAAACGCTGTTTTCGTACATCAAAGTAAGTTTAGCTAGCGAATTCCACCGGAAGGGCAAAAAATGGCTGATGTGGCACGGAATTTGCACTCAATTGGGTTCGGCTCTGGGGGCCTTCCTCATTTTCGTCATGATCAATTATCTCAAGCTGTTTAAATCTAGCAAAGCTTGTGTTTAGAAGAAAAATGAAACTAAAAATTACTATGCCACTATCTTGGGTATCATTGGACTGATCTCTATCTATTATATGACCATATTTCAGATGAGTCAACAATATAAAAGAAATCTTATGGAATGTCGTAGGAGTTAGAACATTCCAATATTTACAAGCCACTCATATACTCGATGAGGTCTCTTCTATCGCTTATTTGTGAAGGTTATATTATAATATATATTTTATCGATAATTGTGTTTATCTGTTTTTATTATTCTAAATTTTGGCCCTGATACAAATAATTATATAATTTACTTCTACGAAATCATACTATATAAATTCATTGCGAATTATATTATATTTCTATCATATATTAAACCTGCATAAACAAATTTTTATAATTCCTAGTCCCTTTGCATTTGATCATCTTCATACAAAACGTATGTAATTTTTATTAAATATTATAGCGATTTATTTTAAAAATTATTATTTCAATTTTACTTTTTTTTAAGAAACATCGAGTCAAAACATCCTTTTTTTATATAAATTGTGTGATATTATATTTATTGTCTTATCTTATTCGCTCTATAAAAAATATTAAAAAATGACTTATAAAACATAATTTTATTATTTTTTATCTGACCAAATATTTTTTTTTTAAAAATATATTATACATATTTAATATATTATATTTTATTATTATACTTATAATTGCGTGATAAAGTAAATAAAAAAACAAATTATTTTCATTAAACTTAATTTTATCTTCATAGGTGTAGCCAGGATTTTCTTATGAGAGTGGGGGATTAGGTGGAAATTTCTCTTATAAATTTTATTGGAGGTCTTAGGGCCACTAAGTATATGCTATTTTCTTTCTAGTAATTTATATCATGGTTAGAGGTAACTAGTAACTAAAATGAAGTATAAAATGACAACTTTTTTTTTTTTATATATAATTTTTTATCCTTATTTTTTTTAAAGTTGGTAGTTTTCGAGATCCTAACACTTTTAAAGAAAAGGAAAAGGTTTAAATGATCTATGATCCAATATGAACTTCATTTTCAAACGTCAAAAATTTTAGTTTCTTTTGGTTGGAACACACTTCGATTATAAAGCCACGTGAAAAAAGTATGGAAGCATTGGCATTGTAGAATTTCTCTCATATAATAAGATCCTTTAATAATATCTTGACATCTTAAAATAAATGTATATACATATTTATTATATAATAATCGAAAGGTTTTAGGTTTTTTTAAAAAAAAATTATTCCATACTTTAAAATCCCAAGAGATAAATATCATTTACTTAGCTCAACCGTCATTTTGTTTTGATACTACTTTCAAACGTTTGCAGAGAAATTTTAGTCGGCACATCTTGCTTTATTCCCATTCCAACTAATATGAGTTTAATGGGTTTTTGAATCAGGAATTCTATCATACCTTGTATTAAATAAAGGGTTGTTTTATATTGTCCAGGGTTATTTATTAAATATAACCAGTTATTGTAATAATTTTGACAATTATTTTCTTATTGTTTGTGAATATATACGAATATTTTAGGATTATTAGGTTCTAGTGGAAAAGGTCAACGGTTTCGACCGATGAAAAAATTATATAAGGTCATGGTCCGGACAGATCCGATGCACTCCCAGACCGAACAAAGGTCTTTAAAAAAGATTGATTAAGACCGTGGTCCTTATTTTTTTATTTGTTTATAAGTAAAAATATTTATTTGAAAAGCTTACGGTTTATATTGCAAAATAAAAAATAAACTAATTCACAAAATTTAAAATAACTCCTCTAGAAAAAATAAAATATACAAAAAGAACCGAACCTTTGACTTTTACTAATAAACAATTGCAAGAAATATCTCTTTTTTTTATTAATTTTAAGCGAATCAAATTAAAATTTTAAATTACAAGCTTAAATTAATTTTTTTTATAGATAGGGTATAATTTAAAATATAAACTCAATTTCGTACGGTTTTTAACTTATTTTGTTGGTCTCATCAATATAGAATTACTATTGATATCATTGTATGTACATTGGTTATATATATAACCACTAGAATAGTAACAGGAATAAGGATCTGACCTTATCCTAAATTATCTTACATTTATCTTAGAAAGGATTTCATTTTCCTCTGATTAAATTTAAAAATAATTATCCATAAAATAATCAAATTCTAATGGCTATATATACATCATAACCAATGTACTACAATCATATCAAGAGGAGATATGCTATACACTGGTTAAATCGGGTCTTATAGTTATAAAATTAGTATCATAAATGTATTTTAAAGTTCTATAACTTATCTATAAAAAAAAATAATATTTAAATTTTTTTTAAAAATAATTTTTTAATAAACTTGATTGCTAAAAATAAAATTAAATTAAATACCTTGTACATTTTATTTTTATACAACATTTAATCAATAGCAAGATAGTTACAAGATATATACAAATTCTTTTGATATACAAAACTTTTATCAGAACTTTTTACTAAATATTGTATTTATCATTAATAATGTTAGATCTGTGAGTTTAAAGAATGATAAATTATTTAACTGTTAAATGTAAAATCCAAATGGTTAAATCATTTAAAAATTTTAGCTTCTAAAAAATAATGTAAGCAATACTTTCATCGTCTAAAATCTTTTCTTAACGTCTATATGTCCAAAGGTATATTAGATTAAATTAATATAATTGAATTATGATAAAACTAAATAATATTTCTATATAATTATACTTAGTTGTTGTTCAGTAACTGTAACTAATTATATTTTTAGGTTGGGGACTACAAAAGTAACTAGTTATTTTTTAAAATATATCAAATTTTATTATAATATTAAAACTCATCTTTATAAATGTATGATTGCGCACTCTTCCCGCTCTTTGTAAACTCTTTATGAATTACAATAAACAAAAGTAAAATAACTGAATTTTATCCCATTTTTTTGACGCACCTTCTGGTTACGATTTACTAAACTCTGTTAATGAAATTATGGAACAAGATTTTGTATAATATATAAATTGATAATTGATTGCACCTTCGTTAGAAACCTATTCCTGTAAATCTTAAAACGGGATTTAGTTCTAGGAAGCTTTTCGGTTACTTAGATTTGTCTTGGGTTTCTTAAAACTTTTGCTTTTGGGCTCCGAATTAAAAATAATAAATACTCTACGTTCTACATTTAGATGTACAGTAATATCTCTCTCGGGGATTAATTATTTATTCATATGCGCCAGGTTAAGAATTCCCAAATAAAATGGCGCCATATTATAGATATATATATATATGCCTGATCGGAATAAACTGTTGGAGATATAAATGAACACATTTAGAACGGCGATCGAATGGGCCACCTGAACTGTGCTAGCGTGCACCGTTGCTGGAAGCTCGTTGCGGTAATCGCATATCAATATAAGTGTGTATTGTCCCCATAGTAAGAAGACTAAACCGAAATGGGCAAACAGCGTTCGAGCTAGTTTAAGTTCTTGATTCAACCGTCTTTTACTCATTGAAACGTGAGCCTTGAAATACAAGGGATTCGTTGGTTTTGGTGCGGGTATCCCGATATTACTTTTTGTATCTTTACAATTTTCCTGAAAGTGATGTTTTTCGTGAGTTTCCAGGCCTTGTCTAACTTTTCGGACATGTAGGAAAAGCATGACGTAGAAATAAAATATCGTGATCATAGGAACATAAACGTAGACTACAGAGAAATAAAGGGTGTAACCAATGGAGTACGTTCTATCCCATATACAGATCATAGCTTTGAGGTCATAAACGTTCCTTCCCCAACCGACCTTTTGTTTAAAAAATAAAAATAAATCGATAATTCATAAGATATATATATCTTTCTTACTAATGATGCGGATAATCAGGTGATACCTAGAGGTGATATTCTATGAACACATGTTTAAAATCCTATTTTTAAAACAAAAAAAACGCGCTTCATATACTTAACTCGTATTTTTTATTGAAATTCAATCCAGCATCATGTGTATTAGAAGAACATGACAGACAACCTTATTTCAAAAAATTTCCTGATCAGAACAAAATCGATTTTTACCGGTCCAAACCTCCCTTATGTTCAGCTGTTAATAAAAATATTTTTTTTCACACCTAGGTCCGACCTAATTTTTTATGAATGGAATTTAGGAAATACATCTCAAAATACTTTCTCCTTCATCAAATTTATAAAGGTTTTTTTTGTATATTAGATTTAATATAATCAGCCATATCCCGAATACTTTAATAATTACAAACAAAATATTTTGACCCATTGTTTGGTAACAATGTAAGATTAAAAGGTAAATCAATTTTAATCAAGTATTATATATTCGCAGTGGTAGAGTATTATTGAAATTTAAATTTTAATTATTGACATATCCCATTTTTTTACTTGTTAACTGGAATCATATTCCATCATATGTGTAGTGTTCTGACTTATGTATCTCAATGGATTTGAATTTAAAATTTTTTTAATAATAACCTATGAATAAGAGCCTACGAATAATTAATAAAAAAAAACATGTTTAATATGTAAAACAAAGAACTATTGCAAATTACATAATAGTGAGGACTGTCTCTAATATAGTAAATGACTTTTGGCTTTATTGCAATTTTAATTTTATTTCTTTAATTGTTTAAATTGTCAAATAAAGTTTACTAATTCTTTAAAATTATCAACGGCATCTTACTTTCAATAAGGTAGCTGCAATAAATACAAATATTCATTTTTATATTTAAAAATAATCAATCAAAATTATACAGCTCAAAAGTGCCTCACAGAAAAGCTCGAACTTCCCCCGGGTGTAGATCATCCATTCCCAAATTTTTTTTTTAGAAAAAATAAATACTGTTTGTAAAGGTATATAATATTTTTATGTGTAGCATATGAAAGTTAATAAGTAGTATAAAATAAGATATTATTTATTAAATATTATAATGTAGTTTTAATTTTATTGACGTTCGTCTATTTGGGCTAGCATGCCTCCCGGGTCTCCCCTACTTATATTTTAAATTTAATAATATATTAAAAATTTCTTTTGTATTACATTTGGCGAAATTTGAAGCATAAATGCCATGATCCATATTAGGATACAAGTGATGATGGTAGATTTCCATCTTGCGTTATCGACAAAGGTCGCGTGATAACGGATAGAAAGATATCTAAATTTATTTATTTTTTGAAATATAAAGAAAAAAGATATATCACTATCTATTTATTTTGAAACCCTTTAAATGTAAGCCTTAAAATTTAATCATATATTAGATAGTTAAGATATCTATACCTTGCAACAAAAAAAAATATTTACCTTACGGTTAAGCCGTCTCATTAAAATTTTAAACTCAAAAATACGTTTTTATCACGATGATGTAAAAAAAAATATTTATGTTCGATTAATCGTCTAGAATTTACCTCCTCTCTCAACCTATTAGTAAATTTTTTATTTCATATTTTATTACCATTGAGGCCTAGGAGCTTGTCAGACCGGGGTACTAGGACAATTTATATCATTAATATAATCTCTAGTGAAAATTTATTTTTACGTTAAAAATCCTATTACTATCGACCCCACCTTTTATTTACTCATGATTGTCAAATACATCTACCCAGTCCGAGCGACAATAAGTAAGGAATATATAAAAGAAGCTAAGGAAATGTTTTTTTAAAGATGATAACCGAATGAAATGATACCTAAATTCAAAAAACGATTAATCACACTCGATATCAATATGAGAAATCGTGTTGCGATTCATGAAGTATAGCAAACTTGATATTTTATCCAAGAAAATATCAGGCAAACCTGAAGATTTTGCTTATAAATGGCACGAAACTTTGGACATGTATTAACGAAATCTCGAGCTTTATGTAATATTTTTATAGTTTTTAAAATCGACCTCAAATCGAGCCATTTTACAACCAGTACTTCTCATGTATGTTTTTATTCTTGTTAAAGAAGAAAACGTTTTTTCATTGGTAAAAATAAATGTATAAAAATTTTAAACATTAGTAGGAAAATAGTCTCAAGTGCGAATTATTCGAGGCGGCATATATAGCATTTCTGGAATATTATCAACCATATCAAAACATTTTACACCATCGCATTCAGCTAGTAATGCATCATTATATACTTTAAACATCCTCACAATAAAAAATCTACCAAATTATTTGCCCTATCAAAATTTGAAATAGATTCGAGGAAGGCTTCTGTGGTAATAATATTTGTAGATTTGTAAGTGCTGCCTGATTAATTAAGAACCTTTCATTCATTTAAGTTATTAAAGTATTCAAGTAGGGGATAAAGAGATTTATTCTAAATTTTTTAAATTTATTTTCGTTTGAAGGCATCTGGAATTGAAGCGGTAAATGTAAAAAATGGTCTTTTTTTTAATCCTTTCATGATGATTTATTTTTATAAAAAAAATTCTTTAAAAGTAAAAAGAAAACTGTTTTTATAAATATAATAATCAGAAATAATTAGTTTTATAATTATAAATATAATATCTATAAAACATAAATTATTATATTAAAAGCTTAATAGCTATTATTAAAATATAGATGGTCTTTTAAAATATCTCAGTATATATTTTACGATGACATTAACAACATCACATTAATAAGCGATTACAATTATTAACTAGTTAGCAGATGCCACAAATAGTTCATGTTGTGATTCCCACATTTATGATTTTTTTTGGACTATTAAAATAAATATATTATGGCTTTTTTATTTTTAAATTACCAATTTTTGAAAATATAATGAGAATAAACGAAGCATTAATGTTAATTGAATTCGATTTACATAGGTTAAAATCTTTTTAAATTTTATTAGTTGGCAACTGACTTAGAAAATATCGTTAGCAACGCAATCCCCATATTTCTTAATCATATCTTTGAGGGTTACTTTGTAATTCATTCTATAGGTAGGAGAACTGGGGGATAATATAGGATATATAATAAGAATTTAAATTTTTTTTATATATTATTAAAAGTATATATATAACGTCATGTATTTACAGTAAATAAGGTAGAATTGAAAATTATAGCTATGGAAACCTATTTTCCAATAAATTATCTAATCTTTAAATTTTCTTTCCAATACTATCCTCTTAAAATTCCTAATTTTTGTGTTATTCATTATAATTTATAAACCACCCCTTACTTAACTAAAAAATTTCAAATTTTGCATTGGGTTATTAGACAAGTTAATTAAAATATTTTTATAATTTTTTTTCCTCACATTCTAATATAAGTTTTTCTTCAAACATCCTTATATCTAGGATATGTTTTAACAAAAAAAACTTTGTATAATTTACAGTTATCAATTCGCGACTTTATTGGAATATATTCTTTGGCAAAAATCAGATTATTAAAATGCTTAATAAAATTAGCAAATGAATGGGCTATTTCCAACTCTAAATCAATTTGGAGTTCTCCACGTAGGAAATTGTTAACTGTGAGAAACGGTTTTAAAGTTTAGATTCAAATATAAGAAAAGGTAGGTAATTCATAATATTATAAGCATGAATATTTAGTTATTCGAAAAATTTATATGAACAATTTGATGAAATCAAAATGCAAAAGTTAAGCATATTAAACTTATGAGTTGTAAATTTTTTTGCTCAAAAATTGCTCCATTTCAATTTTTATTAGAATAATTTATTTAAATAAATGCAAAATTAAAAAGATAAATGGCTATTATTATCATTAACTTATATGATATAAAGAGATAATCGCTATTTAATTTTTTAGGAAATAAAAATTCCAACTGAATAAAAATGATATTTATTTGCGTTAACGTCTCCAAAAATTAATATTTCATATAATCTAAATTTTATTATTATATTTACGGGTATATTAGAAACTTTAAATCCACTCCTAGCTTAACTATATTTAAAATGCTGCACTCCAAGACGAAAGATTTATAGTATATAATAAATTCCACTTCTAGCTCAAAAATATTGAAAAATGACTGGAACACTCTAAATTCTGGAGTAAAGATATATAGATATACTATGCTATAATATTATAATTATTTTATTTTATTTTTTAAAATTTAAGGGTTACATTTATAAATAAACCTGGTAATTGCGATGGTTGCATGAGTTAGGATGGATACGAGACATGATGTAACGCACACATTGGCGATTACGCTGCACAATACATGATTCTGGAGAAAGACTTGGTGGCCTATTGTTAGACCTTTTTTTTGAATAGATAGATATTTTAAATTATTATTAAGTGGTCATTTAGATAATAATTTCCGTTCTTCTTGATTATAGGTTAGGGGTAATATTTTAAAATGATAGACACACAAGGTCACTGAATTTCTATATAGGAAAAATTATGGAACGTAGAAAGAGACGGGAAAGGAGATCCTAAGAACATTCTAAGAGAAGATTTTTGAAAGGTTCTTAAAAAATAATATTAGCATATTTAATTTACATTTATAATACTTATTTTGTTAATTTCTTAATCCCAAGTTTACTAGGCATGACTATACATTATTTAATTTTAAACAATATATTATTTTTTTGTAATCAATCAATACTAACATAGTGGTAAAAATTGGTATTATATATAATAAATGTTAGAAAAGAAAATTGAATAATTGTTTGGAAACGCGTTTTGAAAACGCTCGAAAATTGGAACGGAACAAGAATCATAACAAGAAGAATACGAAGGTTTACCGTTTTTAAAAAAATAAATTGATTTATATCAAACTAACTTGTCTCTTTCTAATTATTCTATTATATACATATAAAATTTCTAAAAATTGATATTGTTTTTACACTATCCAATATAGATGTGGTTGGTGTCTGGTGTTGTTAAAAAGTCCGAAAGCCCAATTTGGGTCTATTTTTAAAAACGGTTCCATTCAGATTAAGCCTGGGATCATAGATGGCAGATAGATGTGTTCCTCTATTTAGTGTTGTTAAAAAGGGCTAACTCAATGCTTCATCCCAGAAAATTTGTACCCAAACCTGAAGATTCTACTCATGGAAGAAAAAAAAATGTCTAAACCTATATTATCGAAATCTCGAGGTTATAAAATATTTTTCTAACTAAAATATTGAGTTGGCCGTTTTAAAAATCGGCTCAAAAAGAGCCGTTTAACAACACTACCTCTATTTGCCAAATCTAGAGAATTACATAATATTATTTTGGTTAAAATATTAAGGGTCGTTTTTTTAAAATCCCCAATTCGGGTTTTTACACCAATGGTGTCTCAGTTAATCGATAAATTATTACTTTTTTGAAACTAAAATGTAGATTATACGAAACGCGATTAAAAGCGTTACTCCCATCGTTCATTTTTAAAACACAAAACTTGAGAATTCGATTTAAATGATCAAATTATTCGATTAAAACTCGACTCGGTAATTCTTTTTTAACTTGATCCAAAGTTGGTCGTTAAATCATATTTACTTTAAAATTTCCGGTAAAACCGGGTTGGGCTTAAAATTAAAAGTATTATTTATTTATTTTTACCATTTATTTTTTCAATAATTAAAATCTGAATATTGTGGTGGATGAGGGCCAAGCAAGTGTTATATTATATAACTTTATATATCATCTGGGTAAGGATGTTTAGCGTTTTAATATTATTGATTTCTTATTATGTGCTTTATTAAGAAAATATTAGATGGCTTTGTAATTTTATCCTTATATATAAAAAATTGGATGTTTTCGAGTGGCGACCGTTCAGGTTCAGAATGCGATAGTTCTGGGTTCGAATTCAGTATTGACCATATGTTTTTTTTTCTAAAGCCAACTAGGTGGTCCTATCTTTTAAAGGATAACATATGGTAGTTAAAACTCTACCAAGTATGTCTTTATATTTTTTTAAAAAAAAATATGTGTGGTCGTTGTTTTGCAGGTGGATTAAAGTCATATATCGATCATATGATCTTCGATGGGTTTATACAAATTATTTTTTTTTTATAAATCAATAATTTTTATTCATTCATTTTTTAAAAAAAACCTGTGATCGATGTCGCGCTGATCAATGTGACCTCTATTAGATCCGCCAGCGATAAATTTATTATGAAAATATTCAAGGGCTTCCATAGTAATTTTTTCGAATATATGGCACCAATAATCTATATAAGTAAAATGTATTACGATGAAAAGCTAAAAAAGGTAAGGAAAAAAAAATTAATTAATGGATCGCAAAAATTTGCCTTGTGGAGGGCAATTTTTTTAAAAAAAAATTCAAAATAACACTAAATTTGGGATTTAGTGACTGGCAGTTTCGGTACAACGTAATAATATCTAAAAGTTAATGAATGTAATATAAATTATAAAATGCATAAAAATGGTTTATAATAAAATTAAATGTAATATGTAAGCCGTTATAACTCAGAGCTTTTGGCTAAAAACTCGGGTTCCGCGGTTTTCGGGATCGGGCGAAACGGGTAGGAGCTATTGCCTAATTATTTACAAAATCACTTATAAAATAATTAAAATATATAAATTTTTTGTGCATTTTAATGTTAATAAATTTATAAGAATAATTGATTTAAAAAAATGGCTCAATCTTTAATATATAAAATTAAATTTGAACGAATATTAAATTCATAAAAGCTCTGCTTTGAACTGTTCTTTGAAGTGAGCGAATCACGTATTATGAAATTCCTCATCAACATTTGAATAATTTCTTTAACAACAGTAATCGGAACTAACTCTTTAAAATTTCCAGTTAAACCGGAAACTGGTAAAACAAATTTGATAGAGGCCCAATTGATATACATTGGCAATTAGGCTAGGAACGGAAATATCTCGAAACTACAAATGTCAAATATGTGTGGCACAAGTTGACCAAAATATATGGCATCCTATCCATATACATCACCTTTATTGTAATAGTTATAGAATACATTAGGCATGATATAATTAAATAAAATTATTCGGTAAGCGCTATTTGATGTGGACATACTTTTCCAACTTAGCTCGAACTACGTGATCATCACTCATTAACAATATTCAAATCATGAATATAAACTCCATGCGACAAATTTGTATTGGGACTATACCTATATTGACATTTCCACCTTGTGATAGCAATTACTCACTTAGAACCACTGGGGAGAAGATAAATAACTTAAAATTCCTACATAAAACCTCCCCCTTCTTCTTTTGGAAAAGAGAAATCTCAATTAAAACTCTTTCAAGGTAAACATAATCTTGTTTAAGACCGGACACCTTCTAAATAGTTTAAATAATCTAAATCTGACAATAATTATAATACCCGAAAATATGTATTATTTATGAAATAAAATCTTACAAAACATAGGTTGTAAAAATTAAATTATTAAAAATATGTCTTTAATTAATAATAATAAAAAATCCAAATTAAAAAAAAATTATTTTAACATCCCTATATTTTAGAAAAGTGTCCAGGTATATCCCGAGGATGTGAAGGATTCGGTTTCTCGTTCTGGTTGTCAAGAGGGGATTTAGGAGTTGGAATCACGAATAAAAAAAATCTTATAATCCCTAGACACTTTATGATAAGCTTTATCAGTCACTTTGTTCCAATTCACTTTCCCCTAACATCTAAGAAATATCGATGAATGGGTAGCTACCGAGCTTTATAAAATAGTGTTATTAATTTTCTATTGTTCCGATTACCAGCGGGAACAATATTTTTCCGCCACTAGGTTTATTGGACGAGGTTAGGGTTAAGATTAAAAGGCAAGCAATAGAAGATATGGGTTAGGAAAAAAAAATAAAATAACGACTCAATATCTATACCACTTATCGATATTAACTAATTTATACAATTAATATTTCTCTATTTTATTTTTTTTTACCGCAATATTTCCTAAAAGCCCTATCATAATGTATAGCGTTAGCAGGGTCAGAAGTCCAATAGTCAAACCTCTTCTTTCAACAAGTGAATCGTAATCCTTGTGATATTCAGCCAGAAATGTGTAGTTGTAGATAAAATTTTTGTCGAATTCGATGTAACGCATTACTATTAATCCCTAGTAAAATAATAGAATTTAAAAATTGAAATATGGGATATTTACTTTTCTTAATTTTCTCTTGTATTTCTATTATGTTCGTATAAGGTGATTAAATTCACTATTTATAAGAGGGAATAAAAAAAATAAAACATTAAATATTATTTTATTTTTTTTTGTTAATTAAGACCATTATATTTTTTAAATTTATTTTTTATACAAACTTTAAATCATTTTGAGAATTTTGGCGGGAATATATTCCATCAAGTAAGTTTGGAATTCCTATCTTATAAATTGTGGACAATTTATTCTGTTAACCTTTGAGTGATTTTATAATTTATATTTAATAAAAATATGGGGAAAATCTAATATAAATTATATTTAGTTTGAAAGATCGTAAAAATATTGTCTGAAATTCATAGGGTAGGTATTCAAAACATACTGGAATAAATTTCTGGTAAAATCAGATTTCTAAATTTAAAAAAAAAGGCTCTCAAAAAATGATCTAATGTTCAAAAAATAACATATTGACCATAAAATATAACATCATTATGAAATAGGAAATTTTAAACAAAACTTTAGCAAAGATTTCCATATAAATAATTATGTAGTGGTGGTAGGGGGTGATATAGCAAGAAAAATAAATATAAGAGAAAGATTATTAACAATGTAACTTTTTGTCATCATGAGAAATCACGACTTTTTGGGGAAAAGGGGGTGGGGAGGGGGGGGGACTTTGTTTCTCAAACTTCCTTTTTGCTCAAGATCACTTAGGTTCCCATATATAGTATTTTCTATATTTTCTTTTATTTATTTTTATTTGCTTTTTAAAAATCTTTCATTCTCTTAATTTTAGGATCTAATCACAATATCAAGTACTTTCAGGCGGGTAACCAATGAAAGGAAGGGACAGGATAGATACCACCCTCCACCCCCCCCCCCTTAACAAAAATTATATTTTTCCCATTACAATTAAAAATATATTTTACATTTTTTTTAAAAAATACTCTTTAATACCTGAGTGCTTAGTTAGCATAATATTTCTTTATTCGGGCTTTATAAATAATATAATGGGTAGTTTGAAAAAATATCCAAACTTGGCACCGTGCTCGAACGGAAATTGTAGATGAACATAATAATTTGTTTACGATAATATTTAATTCCTGGTTAGTACCTCTTACTAATTATCAATCCATTTTGTCAGTAAACAAAGAGACCCCAAGTTATAAGCTAAATTTACAGGAAGACGTCATGTCTTAGCCGGAAATTAAAATTTTTGGAATCTTTAATTTCTATTGTTCAGGCCGATATGTAGTAAATGCTTGATTTATATATTTTAGTCTTTAGACCTCAATCCGTTTGGTAGAGTAGTAATTTTTAAATATATATGAAAAATAAGAAAATGGCTATAATTGACAACATGAAAAAGATTACAAAAAAAATATATTACGAAAGCATTAGAGTAATTTATTGTGCCGATGAATTACTTTGCTAGAGAAAAAGTAACGATTAACGCGTTTCCCTTTTTTTAGTAACGTAAAACATTATTCGTAACTGTAAATTTATTCTTCAAAAAAATATATAGCACTAAGCGCTCTTGTATATATTCCAAAAAAATTTGAAATCAATTGTCAAAAATAAAAATATATTACTAAGAAAACTTATCTCATAATATATAATTTTTGCATAATTTTATTTTCATTATCTGCTAGTAGATAACCGACCAAGAATGACGGGTAATGAAAACTTTCTCCTTAATTTGATGATAGATGTTAACTTTATTTGATAATCATATGATACACCCCCCCCCCCCCTCCAGACTTAAGCGCAGCATATTAAGATCAAAATGTGAACACTAATTTGAGTTAAAATATATTTTAATTATTTTTTATTTAATTACTATTATTTATATTTTGTGTTGATAATATTTTTGAGCCCCCCCCCCTCTAAGATCTAGACCAGCCACTTAGAATGATAATAAATCATTACAATCAAAAGATTCCTGAATTATCTTTTATTTGATAACCATCTCGAATTTTTATTTTTATCTTCACTCCCAGATCAAGTCCACCCAATAAAATAAGATATTTAAATTAGCTTTTATTTGATATCCATATTTTATGTTAATTAAAATTTTACTGGCCCCTTCCTATACCTAATCTCGTACATTAAGGGGGCGAGGTTAACCACCTGTTGGATAGATCCTTTAATTAACTACATAATTAATAGGCGTAGTCAAGGGGGGGGGCAAAGAGAACCCCCCCCCCCCATTCAGAAATTTATCACCTTTTGTGAATATCATTTAAGCTATTAAAAAATATCCCCCTTAGTCTTTCCCTCACTCCCTGACCCCCAAAAATGTATGCATATATCTTAAACAATAATTTGAAAGAAAGAATGTAAAAGTTGATATTTTTTAAAAAAAACTATTCATCATAATTTATACATTTTTGGAAAAAAGCATTTATGTATAAAAAAAAAGAACCAAAAATGTTTTTTAAGAAATGGAATATAAACTAAAGATAAGAAGACAAAAGTGAAATGTATTATAATTATTAATAATAGATCCATAAAATTACTAAATAATATAATATATCAAATATATTTTTTATAAAGTGAGTAATTTTAATTTATCTTGATAAAAGTAAAATATAATTATAAAACTATTGAGAAAATTAAATCATAAATTAAATAAAAAATAAAAGCACAAGTGGAATATTATATGTCGTAGATTTACAGTATGTCTAATTTTATCAATCATCATATGACAATAAAGTAATTTTCACCAATATAGCGAATTATATTTTACATATATAAAATATTGATAAGGACATCAGAAAATATCTTTTGAAGACATTGTGGGATGAATAATATGAAGATAAATTTTTAATATCATTTTTTTTAATATAAATAGATGGCGTTAAATAATTGAGTGCAAATTGTTGCTATACTTATTATCAAGAGCATTGTATAGTAAAATTTGTTAAAATATAATTGTAATATATTCTCTAACTGTAATATGTCTATAAAAGTGGAATTTTACCTAATATGCAACTAATTCTATATAATAGAGGAATATCAACTATATGTCTACTTACTTTTTATAAATAAATTTCTTATACTTGTTTGGAATAAATTATTATCATGCTTTTATATTTATGCATATACAAGTAATATTATATAAACTAATAAAAATATATTTCATATAAACTAATAAAAATATATTTTATATTTGTTCCAGGCTTATTATTTTCATTAAAATTAACCTCCTATCTGTAAAAATATTTTAATATATAGACTAAGGTAACCCGGCCGAAGACCGGGGAAAAACGGGCCGAAGGCCCGCCCAAATAAAGTCTGGGGCGAAGTCCCCAGTAATTTTTTTCCCCCACCGCCCTTAGGAAAATCCTGGCTACGCCTATGTTATTATTAGTATTAGTATTTTTATTATTTTGATTTTAGATAATTTGAATATTATTTTGATATACATTTTATTGAATACAAATAAACGGTGAAATAACTTTAATTTGATAAATATACTAATTCTATATATTAGATATCTCTTTTAAAGGGTATAAATATATAAGTTCATTTAATACATAGACATTTTAGGTGGGGTGTGTATTTTTAAATTACCAATTAATCTGTTAATTCTAAATATAATTTAAATAATTTTATGATTTAAATGATGGATATACCAATATTTCTGTAAATTTCATTAAATTCTATCAACAGCATGGTGTTAAAACATTTTAACCGGTTTCTAAAAAAGGTAACAGAATTTTCAAGTGAAAACTACCATCTTAGCCTCGATTAAATAGTGTTGTTAATTTACTTGGTCGTAAAATTTAGGCCCCTTTTATGTGCTCGCCGACCCGTGGTCCAGACCCGTTGTTCAGACCCGTAATTTAGACTCGAGGTCCAGACCCGGGGTTCAGACTCGTAGTACCCGGAAGGGGGGTGTATAAAATATTTTTTTGATATGGGTATCAAATAAAAGGTAATTAAAATAATAATCACTCATAGAGGGCAGGTTTAGGTCTTGGGGGTCAGGAATATTTTTATTAACATAAAATATCGATATGGGGTATCAAATAAAATCTAATTTAAATATCTTTAGATTAAAAGTATTCATTTATTGTCTTGATGGGTATGAATTGGTCTGGGGGGGGGGCGGTGGTTGGAAGGGGTGTCTAAAAAATATTTTTTGATATGGGTATCAAATTAAAGGTAAATAAATTATTTTTTATAATAATAATTAATAATGAATCATAGATGGCGGGTTAGGTTTTGAGGGGTCAGAATATTTTTATCAACACAAAATATCGATGTGGGTATCAAATAAATGCTAGTATACATATCTCTTGTAAACTCTGAGAAGGTGGGATGTCTTAGTTAGTCAGGAATATTAATATAAACACAAAATATATGTAGGAATCAAATAAATGGTATTTTATATATCTTTTGGAGGCTAAAAAAATATTTTTTTAATATGGGCATTAAATAATAGGTTATTAAAATATTTTTTATGGTGATAATAATTAAACTCTAAATGGTCTAGGTCTTGTAGGGCCAGGAAATTTTTTATCAACACAAAATATTAATATGGCGATATAGAAGCCAATTAAAATATTTTTCTACAAAATAACAGTATCCACTCTTAGTCTCTTAATGGTAATGTTGTTAATTGGTTGGTTGTGTAAAACCCAGACCCGGGGTGTGGGTCTAAAAAATCGACCAAACCAGCTGTGAGCATGAACCTTGAGCACAGACCCGAGGTTCAGACCCGGTGTCCAGATGAACAATGTTCTTTCAAATATTTCAAATAAAAAATATTTATAAATAATATCTAACTTAGATAGTAAAATCCTGCAAGCAACTCAGCTTATGGTTAAAAAAATTTTTAATCGAGACCACTTAGGGCTTATAAATACCAAAAAGGATTATAATGAATTATTATGTAGGTTAGCTGAGAGATTATCTCTAGCTTTACCATCTGATCCTGACCC